TCTGCCTCCCGGGTTCAAGCGATTTTCCTGCCTCGGCCTCCTGAATAGCTGGGATTATTGGCATGCACCAACATGCTTGGCTAATTTTTTTGTATTTTTTAATAGAGACGGGGTTTCTCCATATTAGTCAGGCTGATGTCAAACTCCTGACCTCAGGTGATTTGCCCACCTCAGCCTCTAGTATTACAGGCATGATCCACTGCATCAGGCCACTATCTTAGAACTTACGAAGAATCTTACAGTATTGTGTTCAGAGCTGTAGGTTTCTTAGCTGAATGACAGAGTTTAATACTGCTTCCCTTTTTCCATCTTCACAGTTTAAGCCATAAATTAAAGTGAATGAGGAAAATGTTCTACATATAGAAATGACATATTTTTATTAAGTAAAGAAATGACATATTTTTATTGAAGTTTCAGCAAAAAAGTAGTCTCTTGAGATTTTTTTAGAGCCTAAAAAATGACAGAGAGGGAAACTTATAAGAATGTAGACATTAGGGGCTGGGCGCGGTGGCTCAAGCCTGTAATCCCAGCACTTTGGGAGGCCAAGGCGGGTGGATCACGAGGTCAACAGATCGAGACCATCCTGGTCAACATGGTGAAACCCCGTCTCTACCAAAAATACAAAAAGTTAGCTGGGCACGGTGGCACGTGCCTGTAATCCCAGCTACTCAGGAGGCTGAGGCAGGAGAATTGCCTGAAGCCAGGAGGTGGAGGTTGCAGTGAGCTGAGATCATGCCATTGCACTCCAGCCTGGGTAACAAGAGCAAAACTCCGTCTCAAAAAAAAAAAAAAAAAAAAAAAAGAATAGACATTAACCACAAAGCTAATCATGAAATCATATGCTTAATATGCCTTCTGATAGACAAGCTTCCATTGACTGTGACTAATTTATTCGCCAACAGATTCCCATTGTAAACCTGCCCATTTTTATTTCCTTTTAACCCTTTCACCCAGCTTGCATTTCTAATGGAAAAGCTTACAATTCATCAATAAGTGTAGTTTGCTGTGGTGATTCAAACAAACAAACAAAGCAATACTTGTCAATTTCACAGCTACTTCAATGCAACACATTAAAAATTTAGGCTGTGATGAAATTGGCTGCTTGCCACCTATACATTTACAGAAATAATACAAATATCAGTGATACTAAAGTTCTAGGGTGATTTTTAAAAGTTTTACATCTTCTGTCAGTTTGTGAAATTGACTTGAATTTTACTAGTGGTACATCTTACAAATATAAATTACAAGAAATCTGAATGCTGTTCCTCTCTTCTTAGATGAATTCCTTGGTGTTGATGAATTATGCTGATGAATTGGTTAAGTATCTCAGGTTATAACGGCAGAAAATCAGCTTGTATTGTTTTTGGTGCTTTTCTTTCATCTGCTATATCCAAGTATATATCTTGTTACAAGCACAGTATTATTATTTTTTTTTTTATTTTTTGGAGACAGACTTTTGCTCTTGTTACCCAGGCTGGAGTGCAATGGCACGATCTTGGCTCACCGCAACCTCCGCCTCCTGGCTTCAAGCAATTCTCCTGCCTCAGCCTCCTGAGTAGCTGGGATTACAGGCATGCGCCACCATGCCCAGCTAATTTTTTGTATTTTTAGGAGAGACGGGGTTTCACCATGTTGACCAGGATGGTCTCTATCTCTTGACCTCGTGATCCACCCGCCTCGGCCTCCCAACGTGCTTGGATTACAGGCGTGAGCCACCGCGCCCGGCACAAGCACAGTATTATTTTATTGAGACAGAGTTTTGTTCTTTTTGCCCATGCTGGAGTGCAATGGCGCAATCTTGGCTCACTGCAACCTCCACCCCCAGGGTTCAAGTGATTCTTCAGCCTCAGCCTCCCAAGTAGCTGGTATTACAGATGCCTGCCACCATGCCCAGCTAATTTTTGTATTTTTAAATAGAGACAAGGTTTCCCTGTGTTGGCCAGTCTAGTCTTGAACTCCTGACCTCATGATCCACCCACCTAGGCCTCCCAAAGTGCTGGGATTACAGGCATGAGCCACCACACCTAGCCGGCTGGCCCTAACTTTTTATTTTTTGGGTGAGGAAATTAAAGCTTATATTTTAATTTACTTAATTTTAATCTCCAGAAATGGCAGTCATTTTTTTTTGTTTTTTTTTTGAGATGGAGTCTCACTCTGTCGCCAGGCTGGAGTGTAGTAGCGCAATCTTCGCTCACTGCAACCTCTGCCTCCCAGGTTCAAGCAATTCTCCTGCCTCAGCCTCTCGAGTAGCTAGGATTACAGGCCTGAGCCACCACACCCAGTTAATTTATTTTGGTATTTTTAATAGAGACAGGGTTTCACCATGTTGACCAGGCTGGTCTTGAATTCCCAACCTAAGGTGATTCGCCCACCTTAGCTTCCCAAAGTTCTGGGATTACAGACGTGAGCCACTGCTCCCAGGAAGCAGCAGTCATATTTTTTAATAATAAATGATGTTGGTTGGTATAGCTATATTTATTTGTTTATTCATTTTTCTTTTCTTTTTTTTTTTTTTGAGATGGAGTTTCACTCTTGTTGCCCAGGCTGTAGTACAATGGCATGATCCCAGCTCACTGCAACCTCCACCTCCCAGGTTCAAGCGATTCTCCTACTTCATCCTCCCAAATAGCTGGGATTACAGGCATGCGCCACCATGCCCTGCTAATTTTGTATTTTTTAGTAGAGATGAGATTTCTCCATGTTGGTTAAGCTGATCTGGAACTCCCGACCTCAGGTGATCAGCCTGCCTTGGCCTCCCAAAGTGCTGGGATTACAGGTGTGAGCCACCATTCTTGGCCTTAGTTTTCTTTTTTGAGACAATCTCTCTCTGTCCCCCAGGCTGGAGTGCAGTGATGGGATCTTGGCTCACTGCAACCTCTGCCTCCCAGGTTCAAACAGTCCTTTTCCTCAGCCTCCCAAGTAGCTGGGATTACAGGCATGTTCCTCCATACCCAGCTAATTTTTCCTTTTTTTATTTTTTTCAATTTTTTTCATTTTTTAGTAGAGATGGGGTTTCTTCATGTTGGCCAGGCCTGTCTTGAACTCTTGGCTTTAAGCAATCTGCCTGCCTCGGCCTTCCAAAGTGCTAGTATTATAGGTGTGAGCCACTGTGCCCAGCCTTGGCATAACTATATTTACATTTGGCTTATCTGTGGTTTTTGTTACCTGGCATAGCCTAGTGGATTTTATGGTAGACCTTCAGATACTGTTAGAAAACTGAGATCATCTGCATCCTGATGTTGTACCTGAGTGATAACATTACTATCATAATAAAGAATGTATAAACCTTTTAAGAATCACAGGCCTTGGGCTGGGCATGGTGAATCCGCCTGTAATTCCAGCACTTCGGGAGGCCAAGGTGGGTGGATCACATGGGGTAAGGAGCTCGAGACCAGCCTGGCTAATGTGGTGAAACCCCATCTCTACTAAAAATACAAAAATTAGCTGGGCATGGTGGTGGGCGCCTGTAATCCCAGCTACTTGGGAGGCTGAGGCAGGAGAATCGCTTGAATGGGAGGCAAAGGTGGCAGTGAGCCAGGATCATGCCTTCTTGCTATTGCACTCCAGCCTGGGCGACAAAAACAAAACTCTGTCTCAAAAAAAAAAAAAAAAAAGAATCATAGGCCTAAATTTTTATCAGTGTCTTAACTAAGTCTATTTATTTATTAGAACTACATAAGTACCCACTGTAACCAGAATATAAAAACAAACAGTTTCTGGACACATGTTTCTTAGGATCTCCTGAGAGCTGTTTCATGGGCAAAAGAAATTTTATTTAAAAAAATGATAAAAAATAAACAATTCTGTCAGTTACCCTATCCTCAGAGTAGCATAATATAAAGTCTAAATCATATCCTTTACAACTTTGTATAATAGAGTTGGTATTTATTCAAATCCTTTTGAATTTTAATAAATAAAAGTAAGTGCTCATTGATACGGTGAGTCAGCTGATTTTTAGAAAAGCTCAAGGGCTCATAGAGTTTTTTCTGTGAGATTCAGCTCAATAGAGAATATAGGGAGGAGCTGCTTCACAGTGTGCCCTACTTTGCAAGTAAGTAGATACTTTTTCCAAAGTTTTTAATCAAAGTTCCCTTTTAATTAATACCTCCATTTACTTGAGCAAGACCACATAGTATCATAGTATCTAATGTCATTCTTTTTTTTCTTTTTTTTTGAGATGGAGTTTTGCTCTCGTTGCCAAGGCTGGAGTTCAGTGGTGCAATCTTGGCTCACTGTAATCTCTGCCTTCCAGGTTCTAGTGAATCTCCTGCCTCAGTCTCCCGAGTAGCTGGGACTGCAGGCATGCGCCACCACACCTGCCAAATTTTGTATTCTTAATAGAGACAGGGTTTCTCCATGTTGGTCAGGCTTGTCTCGAACTCCCGACCTCAGGTGATTCACCCATCTCAGCCTCCGAAAGTTCTGGGATTACAGGTGTGAGACACCACACCCGGCTGTATCTAATGTTATTCCTAAAGTGCCTGGTTAAATCAAGTGTTGTACATCCTAAATATTAGATGTAGGATTTTTCATAATACTTTATTGGTACCTCTGATTTTTTTTTACCATGTAATATGTTTTATCTTTAAAAGGCCACTGTTTTAATATGCCTCTCTTCAAGAACCTCTAGCACCTATTTCTTACTGTATCTATACAACAGTCTGCTTGGCTGGCTAGCTGTGGGAACAAAAAGTCTTGAGAGCAGTGCTTTTAGCCAGTTGTAGGATCTGGAGCTAGAGGAGATTCCATATTAAACACGTGAGCAAATGAAAATGGTACTGTCAGGAACTTTCAATTTGATTTCTCTCTATTTCAGTATCACTAGACTTCAATGTGGAAATAAATATGTGGTTGAATAGGGTTTACACTATGTAAGCATTATTAAGTAATGTCAAGTCAGTGGAGAAGCATCAGGAAAATTCTGCTTGCAGTTTAATATGCTGTGCATTATGGTTTTCAGTTCAGCATTCCTATTTGTTTGGTGGTATTTTTTCTTTCAGGAGAAAGCTTTCCAGAATTCAGATCTGCAGGAACTGATGATGGTTTCACCGATTTTAAAACAGCTGATAGTATATCACCACTAGAGCCACCGACAAAAGACAAAACTTTTCCACCATCCTTCCCCTCAGGAACTATACAACAGAAGCAGCAAACACAAGTGAAAAATCCTCTGAACTTAGCAGACCTTGATATGTTTTCCTCAGTTAATTGCAGCAGCGAGAAACCATTGTCTTTTTCAGCTGCGTTTAGCACATCTAAATCAGCTTCCACACCACAGCCAACAGGTTCCGCTGCTACTACGGCAGCATTGGCATCGACAGCATTGGCATTGACGAAGACTTCTAGTTTGGCTGATGATTTTGGAGAATTCAGCCTTTTTGGGGAATATTCTAGTCCAGCATCTGTTGGGGAGCAGGATGACTTTGCAGATTTTATGGCTTTCAGTAATAGCTCTATTTCATCTGAGCAAAAGGCAGATGACAAATATGATGCCCTTAAAGAGGAAGCCAGTCCTGTTTCTCTAACCAGCAACATGGGCAGCACAGTGAAAGGTGGGCAGAATCCCACTGCTGCATCTTCCAAGTATGATGTCTTCAGACAACTTTCTCTGGAAGGGTCTGGACTAGGTGTTGAAGACCTGAAAGATAACACTCCTTCAGGAAAAAGTGATGATGATTTTGCTGACTTCCACTCCAGCAAACTTTCTTCTATAAACTCAGACAAATCCCTGGGAGAGAAAGCTGTGGCTTTCAGACACACCAAAGAAGACTCTGCGTCAGTGAAGTCCTTGGATCTCCCTTCCATTGGTGGCAGCAGTGTTGGCAAGGAGGACTCTGAAGATGCACTCTCTGTTCAGTTTGACATGAAATTGGCTGATGTGGGAGGAGATCTTAAGCATGTCATGTCTGATAGCTCTTTGGATTTACCAACAGTTAGTGGCCAGCATCCTCCTGCTGCAGGTGAGGAATTGGTGAGATTGCTCTGGTGATGGTGTTGTAGATTTCAAAGATGAGTCCGTGGGTGTTGATTTACATGAGTAAGGCTCTGGCCCTTTATCTTTTTGAATCTCTAATAACCTCTTTGTTGCCAGTCTCCCCAAAGCAGTATTAAATTGGATACTATGGCTACTGTAGACCTTAGATTGGGTGGCTAAAATATTTTTATTTTTGAAATCTAGCACCAACTTGGTGTTAGAGGCACATAGATACTCACTGCTAAGTGAACTCCACATTGCCAGAAATCTGATAAAGACTTTTGCAATGCCAGCAGTGTTCTTCCATTTCTGAGAGTAAAATCAATGTTTCCCTCTCCTTTTTTCTTCTGTTGGGTATACACAGCAGCTGTTAGTATAGTATTCTATTTGATTGACGGAAACTAACTCTTGTTAGGTCAAAAAAGTAAAAATTTCTAACCACTTGTAGTACAGTTTGCCACATCCCTTTGAGAGAAGAAGAGGGAAGAGTTTATAAATGGATGTTCTGTATGTCAGGGTCTGGCAAAGAGGAGGGCATATGTTGTCAGTGGAATCCAGGAGCTGTTTTCAAATAGCTCTGTTACTGGAAATAATTAAGTTGTAACAAATCTGTAGATGCTAGGATAGGGTAACTATGACTTTCTGATAAAATATTTGAAAACGTCTTATTAGGGAGCCCTCTTTAAATTCTGTGTGGATTTACATATAGCAGATTATTCTCTAGTTTAACTTCTATCATAAAAACTAGATTCCCAAGTGTCCTGGTTTTTGTTTTGTTTTCTTTTTTGATATGTATATAGAAAGATAAACCTATTTTGTGGCCTTTTAATAATGAGAAATATCTCAGTACCACCGTATTATTCTAGAAAATGTTTTATGCATATGAAGGGTTTGGTTTTGTTTAAAGAGGGACACATGAGACACTTCCAAGTTTACAGATTCAGGCAGAAATTGTTAAGTCCTATAGCTTTTGCACATGTCAAATTGGCAAGTTGGAAAACAAAATTGCGTCCATCCTTTGGTTATGGAAATGTTGTAGGTATTCCTAAACAGGGTGCTGAATCAGGGACAAGTTAGCAGAGACATTACATGTTTCATGTTGCTACTTGCTAAGGTATTTTTCAAATGCAGTGGCGGTCTTAAGAGCTCCTGGGCCCTTGACTGTCTACTTTCTTTTTTTGTACTTTTCCTCAGAAATTTTCTTATTTTTTTTGCTGCTATTTGTTTGATAGAGTGATTTAGTTTTTCTTTTTTGTATGAGCTGCTTGAGCCACAGCAGTTGGTTGCAAAGTGCTCTGTATTCTGAACAATATTTGATTTTTATTTAAAAATCACATAACATGTATACTAGACTTTTGGACTCTGAAGTTATTAATTAGAAACTATTTTTCTGAAAGTGAATCTATATTCTTTCACAGCGCCAAGCTAGTTGTCTTTATGAAATGAGTCGAATCCAGGTTTGGGGTGTCTTTTTTTTTTTCCCCCATTTTATTTGGAAGTTGGTTTTTTGACCAAGCTTGTTCTTATTGACCTGTTAATCTTCTGTGCTCACGTTCTTTTATGTATGTTTGAAACATCCTCAGCTTGGAGCCTGTAATGTTCAAGCCAACTCTCTTCCGATGGAGGATATTCTTAAAAGCAGATTGTTTCCTCCCATTGATCTGTAAACCTCCTGTCAGAAAGGAGCAGTATCCCTTTAGAGCGGTTGTTAAAAGGGGTTGATGTCTGACCAATGAGCTATATATATTGCTCTTGTGCAAAACTGCTGCAGAAATGTATTGTAGAAGGTAAATGGCAAGGATTTACTCAATGTAATGTGGTTTTATTTTATTCTCATGTTCACCACAGTATCTCTTGCTCTTAGTTTGAGGGTTAAAGGTACTTCTTGTTGGAGAAATAAGAAGTGAGCTGATGGCCGGGCGCGTTGGCTCAAGCCTGTAATCCCAGCACTTTGGGAGGCCGAGGCAGGTGGATCACGAGGTCAAGAGATCGAGACCATCCTGGTCAACATGGTGAAACCCTGTCTCTACTAAAAATACAAAAAGTTAGCTGGGCATGGTGGCGCGTGCCTGTAATCCCAGCTACTCAGGAGGCTGAGGCAGGAGAATTGCCTGAAGCCAGGAGGCGGAGGTTGTGGTGAGCCGAGGTCACGCCATTGCACTCCAGCCTGGGTAACAAGAGCGAAACTCCGTCTCAAAAAAAAAAAAAAAAAAAAAAAAAGAAGTGAGCTGATGAAGAGAGAATAAAACCTAGTATATTGCTATCTGTGGACCTTAATCCTGTTTAGAATCCCTAACTTAACTCTGAAGGGGATACTGTCTCTTTAACTCTTGCTATAATTCTTTGTATGGAAGGTAGATAATACTGATAACGTTGCCTGATTTCTCTGCATATTATTACATTTAACCCTTTGAGCCCTTGCTGCATATAATTTCAACTAGGCTGCTTTTTTCCCCTGACCAAATTTAATCTGTCTGGCACTGAAGCATCTTGACGTGCAGTCATTAAAATTATATGGTTTTGTTGGCAGCAAGAGCTGACCCTCATTGGTGACATTTTCAAAGGGTTAGCAAGACTTCTGTAGCTACCTACCTACCTACCTGTAAAGTAGCTCTTCTTTGACATTGAAAATCTGTATTTTAATTAGCGCCCTTTTTCTTGGCTGCTTTTCTGATGTCTTTTTTTCAATTTAGACATTTTCTGTGTGAATGTGCCTTCGAACTTGCTTTAGTATATTCCTCTGCAAATAACTGATCTGCATGCTTATTCTGATGACTTATTTTCCAGCTCTTCTGTATCGCTTTCTTTTGTGATCTGTAAGTCTTGTGTTAATAAATAATTCTTTGGCATATTTTGAAAGTGTGGGGATGTGTGTAATTTGTACTTTTTCAGGATTAGACCAAAGAAATACCTGGCTGGTATCAAGTTGAAAGCAGTAGTATCCTGAGACTAGAGGGTTTTCCGTTTGTTTTGTTTTATCAAACACTTGTCTCCTAAGAAAGTATTGGTACATTTTAGCCTTAGTTTCTTATCATTCTATTGATGTAATTTTTAACATGGCATTGAATTGAAATATAACTTCAAACTTAAATAAGAGTAAAGCTTACACTACTTTACATAAAAGGGAGAGAGAACATTTATTGCAGTTTCTTCTCTTGAAGAAACTGATCATATTTTATTTTAGAGAATCTGTCTCTACTAGGCATTACATTGAAGAGAAGAGCAGAGGAAGGTGAGGAAAAAGATCTAAGAGTTGAGTGTTGTGGAAAGAGTTAACTATAACTATCTAGTTACTAGCTAGGTAGTTATAACTACTTATAACTTAATCTAGTAATTAGATATAGACTTAATTTAAAATAAATCGTCAAGTAATATTGAAAGGGACTAATGAGCACAATAAATGTAAACTGTTTTTACATTGATAATATGCATAATGGAAAGTATTCTGTATTAATTGCAGGAAGTCTTCAGGATGGAATTTGATTTGAGTTTGCAATTGGGTACTCAGCCAGGCACAGTGGCTCACGCCTGTAATCTCAACACTTTGGGAGGCCAAGGTGGGTGGATTGCTTGAGGCTATGAGTTTAAGACTAGCCTGGGCAACATGGCAAAACCAAAAATACCGTCTTTACCAAAAATTACAGAAATTAGCTGGGCATGGTGGTATGCACCTGTAGTCCCAGCTACTCAGGAGGCCAAAGTGTGAGGATTGCTTGACCCTGGGAGGTTGAGGCTGCAGTGAGCTGTGATCACATCACTGCACTCCAGCCCCGGGTGACAGTGCAAGACCCTGTCTAAAAGAAAGAGAATTTGGGTACTCCATCCTCTAATTGCCGAGCATGTTAGGTCTGCAGTTATGTATTCTGTATGATGAAACAACCCTCAGCCTTTTTTTTTTTTAATTCATAGTACATAAAGCAAATTCTTGAAACAACTTTGGGGGGGGGTGTGTGTCTAATAAAGTAGGGTTTGAACCATTCTTATTTTTAAGAAAACAAGTTTCTAGAAGGACTAATGAAATCTAGCAACAAGAGTAGGCCAAACTTGGAAAATGTTTTCTCCATTTTAGAGCATGGTAACAGTAAAAAAAACCTTGAGAATATTACTGTTTCTTGGGTTAGAAACCCAAAACTGGTAAAATCCCTGGGAAAGGGGGATATTTCCATGGTTTACATTTTTTATTCTTATGTTTTGAGCTTTAGTTCTTTGTTCTTTTTTAGAATTTGTGGAAGGAAATTAAATCACTGAAGATGACTCTTTTTTTCTTTCTTTTTTTTTTTTTTTGAGATGGAGTTTTACTCTTGTTGCCCAGGCTGGAGTGCGGTGGTGCAATCTTGGCTCACTGGAACCTCTGCCTCCCAGGTTCAAGTGATTCTTATGCCTCAGCCTTGAGTAGCTGGGATTACAAGGACACCCACCACGCCCAGCTAATTTTGTATTTTTAGTAGAGTTTCTTCATGTTGGTCAGACTGGTCTCAAACTCCTGACGTCGGGTGACCACCCACGTCAGCTTCCCAACCAAAGTCCTAGGATTAGAAGTGTGAGCCACTGCTCCCAGCCTTTTTTTTTTTTTTTTTTTTTTTCTCCTTTTTTTAAGACAGTTTCCTTCTTGTTGCCCAGGCTGGAGTGCAATGGTGTGATCTCAGATCTCTGCTCACTGCAAACTTCACCTCCTGTATTCAGAGCAACTCTCCTGTCTCAGCCTCCTGAAGAGCTGGGATTATAGGTGCCCACCACCATGCTCAGCTAATTTTTGTATTTTTAGTAGAGATGAGGTTTTACCATGTTGGCAGGCTGGTCTCAAACTCCTGACCTCAGCCTCCCAAAGTGGTTGCATTACAGGTGTGAGCCACCACGCCCGGCCTAGAAGATGATGAGGATTTTGAATAGGATTCCTAAGAAATCACTAATACTGTCTTAAATATGCCATTTAAGAAAGAAAAAAGTTGCATATAGAGGTTTAGATTAACTCTGAGAAAAGCCAGG